TAATTATATTATATGTATTGTGCTTTTTGTTTTTCTATAATTTGGTTGATATTTTTTACTTTATAATTAAATAATTATATTTATTTTATTTAAAATGTGAATGTTACTATTAAAAACTTTAATTACATACTAATTAAATAATATAATTATTTTACTTGTATTATCTTGATTGTTTTTTAATTATTTTCGAATCACCACCGATTTGGAAAAGTTATTCGAACCAACAGTGATCTGAATATTAATTCTCTTTTTTTTTTTTCAATGTTTTATATTTATTCATGAGTTTTATTCTTTATTTATTATATCAATTATTATGCTATATGTTAGTTTATGTCACTATCATTATGTTTATTTTATTTTGCATGTCTTGTATTGTCATAATTATATTTATTTTATTTCATATAATAATCTTAATTTATTAAATGCTATAATTATATTATGTGTATTGTTATTTTTTTAATAATTTGGTTGATATTTTCTAATTTATAATTATATCTATTTTATTTAAAATGTTAATGTGGATCTATTAAAAACTTTAATTACATACTAATTAAATAATATAATTATTTTACTTGTATTATCATGCTTGTTTCTTAATTATTTTCGGATCATTATTGATCTAAAAAAGTTATTCGGCCCAACAGTGGTCCAAATATGAATTCTTTTTTTTTTTTCTTTCAATGTTTTATATTTATTTATGAGCTTTATTCTTGATTTATTATTTCAATTATTATGCTATTTGTTAGTTTGTCATTATCATTATGTTTATTTTATTTTTCATTTCTTCTATTGTCATAATTATATTTATTTTATTTAATATATTAATCTTAATTTATTAAATGCTATAATTAAATTATGCATAGTGTTTTTCTTTTTTCTTTTTTTATAATTTGGTTGATATTTTCTACTTTATAATTATATAAGTATATTTATTTTATTTAAAATGTTAATATTGATCTATTAAAAATGTTAATTACATACTAATTAAATAATATAATTATTATACCTGTATTTTTTTGTTTTTTCTTAATTATTTTCGAACCACAACCGATCTGAAAAAGTTATTCGGACCAACAATGGTCCAAATATGAATTCCTGTTTTTTTTCTTTCAATGCTTTACATTTATTTATGAGTTTTATTATTTCTTTATTATTTCAATTATTATGCTATTTGTTAATTTATGTCACTATCATTATATTTATTTTATTTTGCATGTCTTATATTGTCATAATTATATTCATTTTATTTAATATATTGTCACGCCCCAGAACTCAAATCCGAGGACGTGGCAGACGCCGTGCACTCATGAATGGGTCCCACAAATGCACAAGGTTCGGAACTTTATCATACCACAAAATCTGAAGATAAAATTATAAAATTTGCTCTAATATCATAAAATCTCAAAATAAAGTCTAGCTTACTAGATCATGATTTATATCTAAAATCTATGTTCAATTTACAAGATGACTAGCCTTCTAACTCGTCACTCCCCTCATTTTTCCCTGTCCTTGACTTTGCTTTCTAAAATGGTGGACAAGGAAAAACTATGAGATAACCCAATAAATAAACATGGATAGCCCTTAATTAAACTTATAGCATACCAACAAATATAATCACAAAAAACAGATACGAGTACGGAAATGAAATAGACATCTCCTTTATGGGTCATGGCCAGTGTTATAAACCTCCCACTAGCAGGCACACGATTTACTAGTATATAATCCCACTAGCAGGATTACAAAAATACCAATGTTTAACAACTCCCACTGACAGGAGGAATCGGCTCTACAGAAATACATGTCGACATGTGCTACATTTATAAACCTCCCACCAGTGGGCACACGAATAAAATGACCATATCGGAGACAAAACCAAATAGAAGTTAACAGGAAATCATAATTCACAAATAATTTCTAGATCATCAAGGCAGTAAAGTAAACTCCAAGAAGGCATGCTCAAATCAATAAAAAGAATAATAATTTCATTTCAAATCAATCATGCTCAGTGCTAATAAAATCAATTTAAACCTTACCACCATCTCAAAAACAATTTAAAATATGCTTTGAAATCGAAGGGCGTTACCATAATTTACTTACCTCAAATCGCATAAACCGAGGACTCAATCCAAGTGCTCTAAGCCATAACAGCACCTAATATTTCAAATAAATACATTCAGACTTTACTAGAATTATTAGCACAACCTCGCAAATTTACTAACCGATGAGCTTCACACGAAATTCAACCATAACATAAAACTCCCTTTTTCTCAATCGTATATCTCCCCAAAATCCCAAATATTTTTAAGTAAAATTATGATATCCAAAAATTCTCTTAAACAAGAGGTTTTAGAGCCAAATTTGCTAATTTGGTTTCCCAATCCCACAAACACAAAAATGGAGAAAAAAGGCCTTTATTTCAATTATCTATCTTGGCAAAACCGCATGTCACACGGGATTTCCATATAAACATCACAGCAGCTAATTAACACTCAATCACATAAATTCCACTTGAATTAATGCTTAAATTTTGTTCTAATTCTACCCAAATTCATCCCCCTAATTTTGCAAACATTTGGACCATGCAAGGCAACAATTTCAGGGATAAACTCAACAACTAAAGGGGTAATTTGGACTTAGATTGAGCTGTCACATACCAGAATTTCCAACAAGCAAATTGAAGCTGCAGATTGGGGGAATTGCCGGCGGGAAGTGCAGAAAATTTTGGGGCTCTACCGAAAATTGGAGAACCAAAAGAAATTAGAGTAAACCCAAGCCAATTAAAGCTGGAGAAAGGAGATTCATGGCTGTTCTTACTGAAAAGCTCAGAAATTTCGCACCCACATAGCAGAAACCAACGGACAGGGGAGGAAGAGCAGAGCAGATCTGGAAATTTCTCTGCAGGGGGAAGATTTCTGAGTTCTATATGTGTTCTAGAACAAGAAAAGAAGGAGAAATCCCCAAGCTTTTACCGATTTTTCAGCCGGAGATGGGTGGCGGCAGCTGGGAGGCTTTGGCCGGTTGCTGGGGGGTTGGGAAGAGTAGGAGCACACGGGTTGAGGAAGAAAGACAGAAGAAAAAGATCACCCGATCCTTATCCCCTTTTTCCAAATTTTTACTCTTTTAAATCCCTCAAGTTTCGAAATATTCACTATTAGGCCCCAAACAATATTTTTCCCAAAATAAGTCCCTAACTTAAATGATAAAATTCCTGAAATTTTGGGATATTACATTCACCCCTCTTGAAAAGGAGTTTTGTCCCCAAAACTCAAATTGAGGATCATCTAAACTGGTGAATGGTTTCACACAAGCCAAGGCAAAACAAATGCCCCATTAACTTCCTATAAACAGAACATGACCTACTACACTTTCGTTGCGCCACTTTGATATCAAACCACAACTAATCATAAAAGCAAAACATTAATTACTTAACAAGATTTACCATGAAACAAGCTACTGGAGGCTGGGGTGATATAGGAAGCACAGGGAATAGAAATAAATCCTGCCCAAAGCCACAAAAGAACAATTGTGGGGTTGCACTATGAACCCAACACAAGATGAGTTGGCAAAGAATGGCATGGATTTAAAGACGAGTACAACAAAACTTTGAACTCTATCAAAGACGGATAAGCATCCAATGGATATATGGATCATGAATGAATGAACGAGTGCATGGATGCCTTATACACTCTGCCACAAAACAAGGTTAACCAATAAGTAAGATCATGTTTAACAAAACAACTGGAATCAAGAGACAGATTTTAGCAATTAACAAGAGTTAAAAGCTAGACCCATCAAATGACATGTGAAATTTCCAGAATAGCATCAGAATGAAATCAATGGAAAATATGAATGCTTGGAAGAATACTGGACCATAAGAGTGCAAGGTAGAATGCCTAAAAAAAATTCAGCAACAAAACAGCATTCATCAAGAATCAAGATCAAATTTAACCAAGTAGTCAAAATTGAGAGACAAGAGTTAACCATGAAACAAGCAATAGAATTCAAGAATTAGGCCCACAAAAGAGATTTCAATAATGACAACCAGAACACGAATTCAAGAGCAGATATAACCAGGATGTCAAGATCTAGCACCCCAAGTAACATGAATTAATTAATAGAATAATCAATAGTGGGGATCAGGATACTTAGAAGATTATTGTCTTCTAATTAAAAGGGAAAACAAATGGTAATGAAAGACTAAAGGTCTAAAAATTATATAAAACGATACCCTATGCGCTTAATTGGGTATGCATTTAACTAATTTTAAAAAAAGTGCATAAAATTTAAAAATTGAAAATTGTAAATGGTAATGAAAGTGGTAGATGAGGAGGCAAATGAATGAAAATTGTAAATGATAAAAATAATTGATGAATGAATGTGCCAAATGAAGAGGTAAAGTTAATTTAACATGAAAGACTAAAGGTTTAAGTATTTAAAAACTCCTAAATAAAGAAAATGAAGAGTTAATGTCTAAATATTCACAATTGAAGAGTTAAGAAAATGAAGAGTCAAGCACCACATATTTAAACTCATTTTTTCCCCTATCTTCCTTACATTCTTTTGATCCTAAGTGAGTTTTGGGTTTCAAATGTTTTGCTCGAAAAAAATTTTATCCAAAAATTGTTTGTAGGATATAGGTGCTTCAATTACTTTTTCTCAATATAAATCAGTATTTAATTCTAACCACTAGTTTATATTTTCCCTAATTATGTTACATATTTTATCTTATCTTGAAATACTTTATTGCTAAAATTTCAAAAATGTTTAAGAGTAAATCAATTGCAAAATACGAGAAATAAGCATTTCTTGATCAACTTTTATTCAATATTTAAGATTAGAAGATTAAAGTGTAATATGTAGATTGTAAGATATTTTTTGTTTGAAAGATAATAAGGATTATCTAAGTACTGAAATGGTTTTGCCAATGAGAAGATTTTATGAGTTATTACATTTGATCTTTTAGATATTTTAATGATTCATATTAACAAATTTGTCTGCAAAAAAATTTTATTCTTGCTATAATTTAGAGTATCAATATTTTGCAATTTAAAGATAAGCTAATCAAGGAAATGTTTATTACATGAAAAGAATAAGAACACAGATTGTGTTGCCTGTTATAATAATTATATAACCCAATTTCATCTTGATTATATTGTGAAAGAATTGAGTGAAAAAGTAGGTGATCTTGAGATATATATTTGAAATCATTGATTATAAGAAATTATTTAAGAAGAAGAAATCCCTTTATAGTATTTGTTTTTTATTATCTTAATATAATTTTATTAAAAAACTTTATTTCATAAAAAAAATTGACGGAGCAAAAAGGTTTAACAAAACAAGAGAAATTGAGAATGAAAGTTCTATTTATTGAAGTAAGAGTTTATATTTTTCCATTTTAATTTTAACCATTAAAAATTATTTTTATCTTCTATATATTATACTAGGTAACTAGATTTTTTAGCCCTTGCGTTGCATGGTGATTATTTTTATTTTTTTATATTAATTCATAAAAAAGTATGCAAGTTTTTATTTTAAATGTTTTATAATGATATTTTAATTAAAAAAATTCTAAATTGATTTAAGCATTAAAAAATTGTTAATAGAAATAAGAATTTTTTGTTTTAAATTTATCTTAAATTAATTATCATTTTTTAAAATTTTTAAGGCAAATAAATATTTTTTTCTATGTCCTCATGGTTATCCATTCATTTTAATTAATTAATGATCCAATCACAAAAACTCTTTCTTATTTTTTATTTCCTTTTAAAGGTTTATTAAAGAAAAATATAAAAATTGTCCTTAAATACTTAATTTAGAAAAAAATTAAAAAATGATAGTTATTTTGGTATAGAAGAAGTATATAACAAATTTATTAATAAGTTATAATATCCCAAATTTTTTTCAAATTTTAGAATTTAAGTTAGGGACTTATGTGGTAGAAATTATTATTTTTGGGCCTAATAGCTAAAATTTACAAATCTAAGGGGGTTAAAAGTGAAATTTGGTGATAGAAATGGGCTAAGGCTAACTTTCTTTTTCTCCTTGCCCATTTCTACGTGTTCCCCCAGTCCTCACCAAAATTTTGCCTCCCCAAGCCTTAGCCATATGCACAGCTTCTTCTTGCTAGAAACAAGGTGAAACTTAACTTTTCCTTCTTTCTCCTAATAAGATTTAGAGATTTGTGAGGTTATGATTCTCAAAATGATGATCAAAACCCAGATCTTGCTGTTGCTTCCCCAATTTTTCTAGTCCATGTTAGGTTATTGTGTAGTATAAGGGAGGTTGTCATTTTCCAACACTTTCTGGTAAGAAATCAACCATATTGCTTATTTTTTCATCTTTGATTTGAATTGGGTTAACTTTAATCCTTTAGGGTTTTCAATTTTGGGATTTTCTTGTAGCTTTCCTCCTTCATTTTGCCCTAGTGCCACCAGCTCTAATTCTTATTTTTGCTAGAAATTCTAATAGCATGACCATGTCATAGTGTTTTGCTCATAACTCTTTCTATAAATATTGGATTGAGTTCATTCTTGATTCTATGGAAAGTTAAGAGATAGTCCTACACTGTTTCTATTGGACATTTGATCCAATTAAGCTGTTTTCATGGTGAAAACTCTGCTGCAATTTCTATTTCTTAAAAGAGGACAAAACTAGCAGTCCGACCTTATGTTATTATTTTAGCCATAACTTTCTTTGTCGATATCGGTTAAGGTGATTCTTGATTCTATAGAACGCTAAGACATAGGACTACAATTTATATGTTGATCATTTAGCCCATATTGGTCAATTTTTGGGTGCAAATTTTGTTGAAACTTCTAGTTCAAAATCTAACCAGAAATTTCCTAGAAATTTGTTTTGTTTTTTGCTTTATTCCCACATTAATTGCTTCCATATTGCATCATGGTTTTAGTAGACTTTTAGCTGTTGTTTTCTTGCTCTAAAACCCCTTGTTATTACTTTATTTTTGCTGCCTTTTTGCTACTGCATTTTGCTTGAATGCTACCTAGTTTTGGCTTGTAATCTACCATGTTTTGCTGCTGTCATTCTACCTAGAAATCCCTGCTATTCAGGGCTCTTTCCAAGTATTTTGGGATTGCTTTTACTGGCATAAACCCCCACTTTGCTACCCAATATTTCTATTGGTGTCTAGGATGGTTTTGAGCTTGGTTTCCCACATTTTTTCCATCTTATTCTATCTAGAAAATCCGTTTGGAATACCTATTATTTAGTGTGACATTTAGAGCTGTTTTAAACCTATTCTAATTATTCATTTAATGTGGTATAGGTTCTAAACCACCTCAACAGCCTTTGAGTTCTTGAATTCTTACTTGTTGTTTACCTACGAGGCGAGGTAAGTAAAACTATAGTTAATGCCCTTGGATTTTAGGGTAAAGGTTTTAAAAGCAAAATTTTGAACTATTTTTGAAGTTGTGGCGAGACTAAACCCGTTTTACACAAAAACAAGCATGATTGGTTTAAAATACAGTTGTTACCATTTATTGATTTAAGCATGCCTACTTGAAGTTTACTGAATTATTGTGATAACCTAAAATTCATTTGTAAATTATGGATTTCTTGTAACTCCTACTTGGTTTAGTCTCCAATATGGTCATGTTTTATTGTGCCCGCTAGTGGGAGGTTTATAAATGCTAGCACATGTGGACATGTATTCTTGGAAACTGATTTGTCCTATTATTCATATCAATGTCTGTGCCAGCCAATGGGAGGTTTATCAACGCTGATCATGACCTACAGAGGAGACATCTATTTCATTCCTGTACTTGTACCCATTTTTCTTGATACTTGATTACACTTGTTGATATGCTATAACTTTAATTAAGGTCTATCCATATTTTTACTTATTGAATTATCTCACATAGTTTTTCCTTATCCACCATTTCAGGTAGTGAGACCAGAGATGTGGGAAACCAAGGGGAGTGATGATCTAGAAGGCTAGCAACTTGTGTTTTGGATTTGATTATTTTAGAATTAGGTCATTAATTAAATTATTTTTGGACATAGAGTTGTATAAATTTTATGCACTCTTGGCCTAATAAAAGCTTGGATTATAAAGCCAAATTTTATATCAATATTTGGATCTTAATTAGTGGACTACTAGATATGAATTAAGTAAGTTTTGAACCTTGTGCATTTGCGAAATCCTCTCACAAGTGTATGGTGTCTGTTTTGCTCCCAATTTTGGGGTGTGACATAAGTACATTTAATACATTTTTTAATAAATCGATTATTTTACATGTTTTATTTTTATCAATCAAGTGTATTTTTTTTCTTTAACTAAATATATATTTTAATTTATTGGACTCTTTGTAATATCCCAAAATTTTGGGGTATTTTAGCATTAAAGTGAGGACTTATTTGAGGAAAAATATTGTTTTGGGGCTTAATCGCAAACTTTTTAAAAGTTAAGGGACTAAAAAGAAAGGAAATTAGGATAAGGATCAAGGCTGATATTTCTCTCCTCAGCCACGTGTTTTGCTCTTCCTCATCTTCTTCTTCTTCTTGACTCTTCCCCCCGAAGCTCCCCCTAAGCCACCGACTTCTTCCTCCTTTGAAAACCGGTAGAAGACTTGAAATTTCTTCTTTCCTTCTTGTTCAAGAACTGATTTGGGGCTTAGAATCTTCCCTCTCAACCTAGAAATCCCGGATCTGCTCTGCTTCTTCCTCCCTTGTCCGTCGGGTTCTGCTGGGTTTGAATCCTTCGGCTTTTTCTGGTAAGATTTAGCCATGAATTCATCTCTTTAGTTTTGAATTTGGCTTGGGTTTACCTTGAATTGTGTTTTGGTTTTTGGATTGG